TTTTATATGTCGTGACTATCTTTACTTATAAAGGTACTTTAAAAATTACAATTGACAATATAAAAAAAAATATCTTCGCCAATCAAATTTATCCTTAATTTAACCAATCAAAATGAACTTCCACTATGCTCAATTAGACAAACTTCTGTCTATGACAATGTACTCAGAGAAGGGTACTCGCGACTTTAACATCATACCGGTCGAAAAGTTCAACCAATGCATTTCGAAAAAACTTGGTTTTGGTGATTGGCTCGAACTAGAGGAGGTTGAATATATCGATCCGACAAACGTTAAAAGGAACTGGGAACTGTGTCGAAGAAAAAAAAAGTCTAAACATGACGTTGATGGTAGAGTTGGATGTTCCAACGTTTTTATCTCACTTAATAACTTTACTGATTTATAATAATTTAAACAACTTACATTCTAGCAATTGATATCCATGCAATAATTAAAAATATAAATTCTCCTCAAATCATTTTGGTGGTTCAATATCGACCGCCCGTTGGAAAATATTGTATTGAATTTCCTTCAGGTATTATAAGAGAGCAATCGTCAATTTACGATCACTTAATTCACTTTAAATGCGTCCTTCCAAAGGGTTAATTGACCCAGAAGAATCAATAGAAGTAGCTGCGCTTCGTGAGCTTCGTGAAGAAACAGGCTACACAGGTAAGATACAAAGTATATCGGATCCCATATGTTACGAACCGGGTTTGTCAAGTTCCATGACAAGGATTGTTGATGTTGAAGTAAATATTAATAAAGTTATAATAATTAATTGTCTATCTTTGTTATATATTAATCTATTTATTCTTTTTTGTGTTAAAAGGTCGATTTAACGAATGATTCTCCTACGCAAAATCTGGAAGATGACGAATGGAGTCTGCAAGTAATTAAAGTTCCTATAGAAAGTCTATACGAAAAATTACAGGGTAATCAATTTGTCAAATTTTATTTTATTATCATATTTTTTATTTATACTAACAAAGTCGATGATTCAACAGAATTACAGAAACAACATTCTGAAAATTTATTAATTGATAGTAGACTATACACCTATGCATATGGACTACATGCTGCAAAGGATCTGCTCTATTGTAAAGCGAATAATAATAATTAATACAATGTATATACATATACAATGATTTAGTTTAGAGTCTTATTTATTTTATAAATTCGTTTAAGTTTGCAAAGAATTTATATCGCATTTGACTAAATTATTCTGTTAAAAATCGACATATGGGCAATCTATAAGTATTTAATGTCCAATATCGTCCTTTAACACCTTCCCAAATTTTTTCATTGGATGGATCGATAGGAATTTCTATAAATTCCGTTTGAAATCCCACGCTGGCTAGGTGCATTTCTGCTATTCGACAGTAAACATCATGAAAAAAGGGATTAGTTGCTCCTAAACCATTGAAAAATGAATATATTCCTTCTGGCTTAAGAAAATTGAGAAGTTCATCATTGAACTCATGAAGATCTTCATAAAATTCACCAAAAGTATCAAAGAATATACCATCATAGACTTCAAGTTGATCTAATGAGTCTTGCCATCGTCCAAATATGATCTTTACACCAGGTTTTTTATCCCAACCTTTATCTAGCATATACTTATAAACATCTGGGTGTGCTTCAATAATTGTATGTGTACGTGGTTTATATTTTTGAATAGCAGTATCGATAAGTCCAAGGCCAAATCCAACATTTAGAATGTCGAGATGCTCTCGAGTGCATATGATTTCAGCGTGTTTTTCCATTAAAGGCATTTCCCATCCCATCATAACGCCATTATTTTCGTAATCTAATAATTTTGTGCCGTCTTCCGAGTACTTAAGTGGTTGAGACAAGTAATCAAAATTTGAATATTGACCATTTTTACTTTCTTTTGTATCAAGTAGTCCTTTTACATATAAAAAACATAGGTGCGTCATAACATATTACATAGAACAATAATGCGTATAATTGGGCCAAATGCCAAAAAAAAAAGGCGGGAAATTGACAGTTTTTTCAACAAATCAATTTAGTAAGATCGAGGTTTTTTTTTTTTTACTTAAAACAAAGTAGTTGTATTAATAAAATTTTGCAGTATAGCTCTTTAAAGTCGTGTTTATTATAAAATTTATAGATTTTCTGAAGATGTTAATTTCCCTCTTTTTTGTAGCAATCGGCCCAATTAATAATTTTTTAATATTTATACAAGTACCAAGTATTAATTCAGTTCTACATCCTTCTTCAAGAAGCTGCTCATAAACGGTATCATGGCCGTTGCGTTTAGCATACTCCCCAGCTGTAACTCCATTAATATCAATGGCATTCCAAGCGTGGCCATTAAGAAGTAATAATTTTACAATATCTAAATTTCCACTTTCACAAGCAAAATGCAAGGGACTTACTCCCTAAAATAGCGAGAACAAAATAAATTATCATATTCACCAAAAAAATTCAAATGAACGACATACATTCTCGTCTCTGAACCACACATCCGCGCCCTCCTTCAAGAGTTGTTCAACAAGAGTTACGTTATCGCTCTTTATCGCGTATATTAATTGTTTGTCTAGCTCATTGGATTCTTGTTTTGTCGACATTTATGAATTATCGTTTTTGAATAGCATAGTAGTATAACAGGATTTCGTTTTGATTGGTCGTTAAAGTACCCGGAAAAATGTCGGATTGAGTAGAGTACCGGTTATTTTTCAGTTTTTAAATTTAGTTCGCTTTTAATCGGTAATACAAATCTAAATTTTTAATTTGGGCTTCTACCCCGCCAAGTTAAAACCAGGAAGTCTAAATATAGAATAATAATTATTTATAGTAATCTATGTTTGGGTAAGGTGCTTGACAAATTTTTCAAAAGAAATTTTTTTTTGCATAAATTAGTTTAGAAAAAGGTTAGGGTCATTTTTCACTTAACGTTAAGACAAAAAGTATTAATAAAATTTTGCAGTATAGCGATAGCTCTAAATTTTGTATTTTTACATGATTTATTAAAAGATTTTTTTTTTTTTTTGTTGATTTCCTTCTTTTGCAGCACTAAGCCCATTTAGACTTCCTGGTTTCCACTTGGCACGCATATTATCTTCGCACGAATTACATCAAATAAGCCGGCTTAGGGTAGCTCATTTACCATATCCCTATATTTAAGTGTGTGGCAAATAACTGCATCAAGCCGGTTGATTTAGAACACAGTTTAAACAATGATTTATCAATGAAAAAGTTTTTAATAACGATGAAGTAATTAATTGTTAATTGTACTATATATATAGATTTAAATAAACGTTCAGTTTCTTATATAAAATAATGTTCGTAGATGAAAAAGATGTGTATATCGTAATTATTGCGAATATGAAATAAGAATTACATTTGTAAAATAATTGTCCATTGTTTACTTAGTAATAATAAATAAAATCTTGCGTCAATTTTTTGGAGCATGAAATATACAGTTATGAATTTAGTAGAGATGCAGACATTTCTTAGGTCAAGGGTAACTACCCACTTGCGTCATAAAATTTGGGTAGTTACCCAGTTACGGCTATGCCGTATGTTATTTTATGTTCTAATGTCACCATCTGTAGAATTTAGAATTATGAGCCCCAAGACTGCCCCAAGCAGAGTGTCCAGCTATTTCTAGCATCTAAAATAGCACTAGTGATATTACGACAACCACATAATCAAATTCAACTAGAATTGGTTACTTTAATTCTAAATGTTTATAGAATAAAAATAAGACAAATTTTACCGAATTTAGTTTGGTTGTTTTCATGATATCGCTAGTGCTATTTTAGATGCTAGAAATAGCTGGACACTCTAGCCCCAAGCTATTTCCAGCTTAACAATTTGCGTCTAGTTTAACTCATTAAATTATTAAGTCTTTGTTCTTGTGGCAATCATTGTTTTGTATATAAGATATATATAATTGTTTAATTGGCTTTCTATAATACAGTATGAATATTATAATATATCTAAAGTAATGACGCAAAAATTTGACAGTCCCGTGATTTCCGAGAACTACCAAATCGGACTTGTACATATATTGATCTTATTTTCCGGCCTGATTTGTATCGGAGATTAGGACTGTTTTCAAAAGTCTACAAAGTTTTTAAAGTGCAATCACACGTAATTGAGTTAGGTAGATGGATTTACGTGATGAACTGTCTCTAAGCACTGTCCATAGCAGAGGTGTGACATTCTTAAGGGTAATTGCCTTCTTACATCATATAAAATTTCCAGATACGGCTATGCCGTATGTTATTTCATGTTCTAATGTCCCCACCCAAGTCCGTAGACTTCACGAATTGTTTTATATGAAGTATGATACAGTACCCGCTAGCTCTGTTTCGTGCGAGTTTGCTGTGTTGATAACAATCTCCGTATTTTATATTGGTCTCCTGATTTTTAAAATTACTCGATGGTTTGATTGGCTTGATAGCTTCATTTCTAAAATTTTGAAATAATTAAACATTTATGGTTTTCATATCAATTGGAAGTACTTAATCGTAAAAGCTCTTGCAATATATTCGTTTTTAAACTTTGATATAATACAGAATATCTTTTTACATTTTTTAATCTCGCATATGAAATTTAACTACAATATTTGATACTTTTAGGAATAAAAAACTGGTTAAACTTATTTTTCAAATATTTACATTTGGTCTTTTGTCAAAACGTACAAATGAAAGCAAAAAACAATTTTAGACAATTCATCGAGCGGTTGGCGTCAATCGATCAACAAATTGAGAATATTGAGAGTATCTTGACTTGAATGCTATGTTCGATCGTGCTGCCTGTTATAAATAATTATCTGAACAAGACCGTAGATATACATGAGCTTATAAACAGTTAAATAAATACGCGGATTTACCTCTGCATATTCTAATAAACCTTGTAGCTCTGCCTCAGTACGTGCTACCTCTTGATATTTTTCAAGACATTGTAATGCTTCTTCCAAACTTCCTTTGGCAAGTAATATCTCACTCATAATCGTATTAGCAATATCGCTCTCAGGCTCAACTGTATGTGTAAAAAGTTCCATCAATTAAAATATAAAATATTTAGTATATCTCGCTATATTATACGTACTTTCCAGCGCTTGACGACAGTATTCTTCTGCCAAATTTGAATCACCCTTTACATGGAGGCAAAGCATTGCCTTATTAACTAATGGCAACGCAAAATTTCCGGCCTGTAATTCATTAGCTTTGTCAAATTGCTCAATGGCTTCATCAATACGTCGTTGGTCTGTAAGGAGCTCTCCAAAGTAGTTGTGCATCTCAGCAGATCTAGGGAATTTTTTCAATCCTCGTTGGAAAGTTTTCAACCCATCATCAACTGATCCACTTTTATACTGAGATATAGCAAGCTGAATATATGCAAATACAAAATCCGGATCGAGCTCAATTCTACGCTGATAATCTTTAACAGCCATATCAAAATTATTATGAAGAAAGTGAATTTGACCTCTGAACATTTCACAATAACATGAGCGGAAATATAAATTAGCATGTATGTTATTAAAATATTTAAAGCATGAAAAACAAACCTGTGATAATATATATCAGGAGCTTTAGAGTCTATTTTAATAGCTTTATCAAATTCTTTCAATGCTTCATCTATATCACCTGGTTACAAATTTCATAAATTGACATCAAGAATTATTAGTGCGGTGGTATATATTAGTCGATACCCATTTTTAGTATCAGTAAAGGTTTTTTTTTTCTATCTGCTTTCCCGTCATATTAATATATATATTATCATAATTTTGGTGTCCTAAATACCTTGTTCCGTGTAAATGGTAGCCCTCTTTACATAAATTTGAACATAATCGGGTTTTAATTCGAGAGCTTTTTGGAAATCTGCCAAAGCATTCCGTGAATCACCCATTAAATTAGTAAAGGTTCCTCTCATATTGAGAGCTTTGGCCATCTTAGTACATCCAAGATTTATAGCTTTCCCATAGGCATTCATAGCTTCTTCATATTTTTGTTGCTGTACAAACCGTTCTGCTTCATCAAATAATTTATCTGCATGGTTTTCTGAGTCTGGATCAGAAAGTTGTGTGGAGTCGGCATTTCCCAGTTCACTATTGGCCTCAGCGTTTTGATCAATGGGTTCTATGGTCGAATACTAAAATATTGAATTGATATCAGAAATAATTGAAAAATCATCAGATATATTCGTACCTTTCCAGAATGAATCTAGATATGATGAAATAAATTTTGTCGTTGGTAGACGCTTTTTTCGGTTCTTTAATTTATTTTTGCATAATAATTAATATATATATATATAATATGAATTAGCATCATAAGCAAGTTGTTTTGAAATAGCACAGTAGTAGAATGCATTATTTATCACCTTGATTATTTCTTTAGCTTTGATGCTAGCTACTTTTTTCAAGAGGCGATCGATTGAAGTAGCAGCATTTTCATTCTTGAACTCTCCAATAATGCAAGCCGCATAGTAATCTAAATTATACTTTTTAGTATGATGGTGTGTCATTTAACTTTTGATAAAGATCTAGTAATAATACCTTGCAATGATTCTTCATAACGTGCAGTTTGTTCATATGCCATCGCACGCCTATTTAGAGCTTTAACATAACAAGGATCCATCTCCAACGCGCTATTACAATCATCTATGGTTCTTGAATAATCATTTGTATTATAATAACATGCAGCTCGATTGCTGTAAAATATAGGGTCATCTTGATTAAAAGCGATCGCTTGGGAATAGAGTTTTATAGCCTTCTGGTAATTCTTTTGTCCAAATGAGATGTTTCCTCGATCTTTAAGTAATTTTGAAGCCGTGACACGTTTCTGCAAAAAGGATATTTAAAATAAATGTTCAATGATTTTGATTCGGACAGATTATGCAATATAAATCACCTCTCTGGGTAATGCAGTGATTTGCTCAGTAGAGTATTTTTCAAATTCTTCGACTTCGGCATCCTCTTCTCTATTCCTGCTTCCTCTATCCCTAGCTAAAGTATATTTATAAATAATTCGCATAATAGAATTTTTTAAAGAAAAATTATGAATATCAGGCATGTACAAGAAAGTGACCTAGTTTCGTACTTTCTGTTGGTTTATGAATTCTAGGTTTTTTTGACCGATTTGATGACTTATGTGTTCTTGATTTTGGAGGTTTTGGAGTCCAAAAGAAATACAGGCCAATTCCAGCCAATATCACTGTAGCAGACGCTGCAACATAAAACTTATAGTCTTTGCTTGCCAGATAATTCTTAATTGCTTTAATGAGTGTTGTATTTGATTCCTGAATTTCCTGATTAGACGCGACATTGGACAACTCTGCGTTCGACATTCTAAAGCGAATATGAAATCAACATTATAAAAGTTACAGATTTAATAATTCATGGTGGTACGATTTCAGTTTAACATTTAACACGTGATTTTAACACGTTAAGATACGAATACCGATATAAAAAATTGATAAATTTATATTTCTTTGAAAAACCAATGTACACTGCATTGTATATTAAGTAGAATAATACAATAATGGTAATGATATATTAAATTGACTGAGAACGCGGAACGCGGACAATTTTTTTGCTGCTGTCAGAAAAAAGAAAAAAAGAAAAAAAAAAAAAAAAAAGGAAAAAGATATTTGGTGATAACCCCGCCTAATCTCTATAAATATTTACAGCAACTTTCGAAAAAACATAGCAGACACACAGGTGATCTAAAAGACATGTCACACATTTAGCATAGCGATGTTACAAAAAAAATTTAATTAGAATATATCTTGAAATAGTAATAACGAATATTATTTATTATCCGTGATACAAATTACCATACATTAATAATGAAGTTGTTTCTCAGACAAAAATGCCATTCACAATTCTGGTGATTTATTGTGAGCTATTTCTTTTTCTTGAATGGATACACCTTGATTGTTGGCTGTAGGTGAGGATCCATTCGTGATGACTTCCTCTTTTACATGTTTATCATCTTCATTTGTCGGGAGAGCCTCTGTTTTTTCTAATTCCATAGCAGCTGGGGCGCTTTCTGTTTTAATCCCGTTATTTTCAACCCGATCTTGTTCTTCGGTCTTGATATCAATTTCGGGTAAAGGCTGGTCGACTTCTTCATGTTTAACAGTTTCATGTTGTGGCGAATTTCCTTCAACTTGTGAAGCCATCTTTGGCGATGCATCTTCATCCGTTCCTTCTTGAGTGGGCGCCTCCAATAAAAACTTCCACTTTTTAATTAATTCATCGCTTCGATCCTTGATATTATATGGATCAGGCTCAATTTTTAAATCAGCGATTTTTCTCATAAGTTTTCCAATTTTACTTTCCTATAAAATTATTTTTGAATTTACTCATTCAAATTAATATATAGAGTAAACATTATCTTCTCAAAACCAATATGTTGCATTATACCTTCAACAAAGGAATAGTAATAGGGAAGTTTTCTACTTCAGTAAATACTTCATCGATCTTTCCCATATCGTGTAACTATTTGAGAAACAATTAGCAAAGATAATGAGAAATAATAAAAGAAACCTTAATAATAATAATAATAATAATAATAATAATAAATAATAATAATAATAATAAATAATAATAATAAACCTCAATCTTAGTAGACTTTATCGTCATTCTTTGGAGCTTATGTCTAAAATGGAGTAATTTTTCAGAGGGAGTTTCTGCGGCAAAATGACAATTTATTAGTACGAATAAATAAAATAGATATACAATTAGTAGTATTCAATAAATGCGTTAACTTACTAAATTGGCGCGACTTCGTCGATCTATGTTGACTTTCCGATTCTAATTTGTTTACTTTTCTGTCAAAACTTGCATCATCGTTTATTTGCTTATTCTCAACAACACCTGTAATTGGTGATCCATCATCAGACTTGCCTGGAGATTTTGAGCCTTCACTTCTAGATGTACCCCTATCTTTCTTTAAATTCTGACGACGTTCCTACCAAAAGCAATTACACATAATTCAGATAAAATTCAGGTACAATAAATAAACGTATATCTAATAAAAATTAACTTTATAATGATATGAAAACGAACGAACCTTCTTTTTAGCATCCACCTCAGCCCTAGGTTCATCCACATCCATTTGCTCTGCCTCATCGTCAGTGTATGACAGGGATACAGAGCTTCTTTTGCGCTTGGAAAGTTTATCTTCAGTCGCTCTACGTTTCTTTACTCCTTTTCCAGTACGGGTTACTACTTCTTCTCCTGAAGAATAATCGCGAGACTTTCTCTTTGATTTTGTGCTCCTTGAAGCTTTTGTTTGGCGCTCTGCAGCTTTTGAAGCTGTATGTCCTTTATCTTTTTTGATTCCTTTGCCACGAACTTTTGATTTTTTATCATATTCACCATCATCATTTTCTAAAGACTCAGTAGATTTCTTACTTTCATCTTCCAATTCAACTTCCTCATCATCTGTTGCTGCTCCTTCGACAGGATCTTCCTCCATTGGATCATCAAAAGATGATGGGTTTAGGGCTTCTCGAATAGATTTCTTTAGCAAGTCATCCCGTCTTTTATTTTGCATTTTTTGTAATAATATTTCTGCCTCCTTCTTTTCAAACGGTTTAAGGTCATTATTTCCAAACCAACCACTAAATAAATAATAAATTTAATAATATTACTCAGTATTAAAATCTTGATTGATCTGACAATATGATTACAATAATATCATAAACATTTCCTCTTGACATGTATATTTTTCTTCTATAATAACACAATATAAACATAAAAAAAAAATACAAAAACGTACTAGTCACCAGTTCCAAAAAATTTCACGCCGCATATTGGTTTCGGTCCTTTTGGTTTTTTTGATAGAACGTTTGAGGGTAGAGAAGACTCAATTTCGACCTGAGACCCAGCACAGAATAAAAAGATTCCAGTCAAGTTTCACACATAACCACAAAGATTTAAACAGTAATCATCACAAACTTTTAGACTGTAAGCAAGTGCGGAATGGAAAATAAGTATATGCCACATGAATAGCTTACTCGTGCCGGCCACCAAGGATATCCCTTGAGTTTGGCATAAACTATATTTCCAGGAGCGTACGACATTATGGATCGCTCTATACTTATCGAATTTACTGAAATTCAAAAAGTCGATCCCAACGAAGGTTTGCGTTATTTCCTAGAGCTGTCCCTTTAATGGAATTATTTCTCGAGTCTAGAGAAAATTATTGACAACCAAAACAAAGGAAGTACAGTAAACACTCCAACTTTTGAGTTTTATTTACTACAATATCACATGACATACCATAATTATGCTTCTATTTATAGATTCACTAAATGTTAAATACCTAATGCTAAAGCTCGAAAAAAATTATTTGAAATGCATATATATATTATGGCTTACTAAAGTAGTAACTAGTCTAATTAGAAAATTAAATATTTTTAATATCACTTCTTTTCTCAGGAATTTTACGTTAATTAGTTCGTTCGGTACAGTCTAGTTAATTCAAAAATAAAACTGAACTATGTTCAGCTCGAACTAAGTTTGAATGTTTGAACTTTCAAAAGTCTTTAATATATACTGTAATATTAGTTCAACTCAGTGAATTGAAGTTAACGCACTCACGGTGTTTTTATTATCTCAAAAATAGCGCATATGTCTATGCCTTCGAAAACTTTTTACCTAAATTCTATATTTTAACCCCTAACGTGAAAATTTTTAGATAAAAAACATAAAAATCTAATTTATATACTAAAAAACACCGTATACGTAAGTATTTTCCTTAATTCTGTGATTTCTGTTGGGTATAATATAATAGAGTTGCGGGTGAAACTAATCAAAGGTACACCAATTACCAATCAACAATCAACATTGGTGATAGATGATACTGGTAATACCGGTAGTACTGGTGAACCGGTGGTATAGGTGGTACGTCCGTACTAGTAATACTAACAATACTATAATAAATAAATAATATATATATAACATAATGCAGTTATACTAAAGTTTTTTTATTATTAAAATTTATAAATTAGCATTATTATAAAATTATTTTATTTACATTTAACTATTATATATATACTGTACAGCATTATTCCTTAAACTATCTAGTTTATTACGTATATAATGTATATAAATTTGTACAGTACAGCAGTATATTAAAAAAATTTTTTTTTCAAGACCCAAATTATATAACACACTTGTAGCTATAGTGTAAAATACTTTATAAATATACAAACTGAATTTATATTGTATATAGATTAAAAAATAAATTATTATATATATATATATATATATTTATATTTTTAAACTATTTTATCTTATTACTTACTGTATTCATTCTTACTTTCTTCAAGAGCAAAAGAAAAAAATGTTCTGTATTCTCAATACTAGAATGTATATCAAGAAGAAAAGAAGTTTATATACAAAAAAGAAACAAAACAAGAAAGGGAAAATAATAAGGAATAAAAATAGGGGAAACAGAAAATGTAAAAAAAGAAAAAAACAAAGAAATAGACCTAGACAGGCTAAACAAGAAAAATGTTATCTCCCGTAAGAAATAGCAGTTACTTCTATCAAGAAATAGCACAAAAACGAATACAAAAAAAAGAAAAAAATAGGTACACTATTATAACCTATGCCAGATAAGTATAAAAATTAATTTATATAGTTTTATTAAGATATTAAATATAGTATATTAAATATTTATATGCAATACCTGTTTATTTTTAATTTGCAATACAACTTGTTATACTATATCAGCAAATTTATAAAACCGTAATATTTCGTAATAATTTACGAACCGTAAAAAAGCCATAATATTATGTAAGAAATTTCGAAATATTGTGAAATATCAAATTACGAAATATTACATAAGATATTTCGGAATATTTCGAAATTTCTTATGTAATATTACGGTTTTTTTACATTAAGTAAAAAATTTCAAAATAGTTTGAATACATGCAAATAAGTTATATTTTTGATTTTCATATCACCCATGACCCACCAACCCGCTGTTTTCATTATTCCTGAGACACCTATAAAAAATTAGCCAAAAAAAATTTTTGGCCAGTAATTTTTTCGGCATATTTTTGAATTCGTTCAATTTTAATTTACTGTAATATTGATATAATATCTTTGTCATAAATTAAATATATTTTAGAATTCATTCAATTTTTATTTACTGTAATATTGATATAATATCTATATACGTCTAAATTATATTTTCAATTTCAAAAATTACCATAATAAATATAATACCTGTTCTACGTATAGTACAAATAATTTTATTATTATAATATCAAAATTATTAAAATTTTGTTTGAACACTTACCCAGTATGTTTAGCGTGTTTAACTTGTATGAAAGTTTATGGAAAAGATTATTCTTGTTAACCAATAAAACTTGACAAGAAATATAAAAAGGCTCTGGATATTTCCCGGATGTAAATCTCGATATAATTATCTTTTATCATGAATATGATGAAGATTAGACATAATATCATGAAGTATCTTTAATTTATTTTTTCATTCAAACTTAAAGATATCACCAAGATTTTTGTTTAATGATTCATGTTTTGCGTAACTCATTACCAAAATATAATCGTCCGTTTTTTCGTCTCTTGATATTCCTAGATATTGTTCTAAGCTATGACAAGCTTTTAACTAAAA